TTGAACATTTTAGAAATAGTGAGATCTTCCATATATTACTATTTATTGTAGTCTTTATGATGGAAAAAAAAAAAAATCCCTGGAAGACTGCAAAAGACATGAAAAAAAACCCAGTCCTTTTCTGAGAAAAATAAAATGTTCTGGAAGGGCAATATTATTTTATGTTGGTTTCAAGATTTTAGAAAATAGTGAAACAAAGAACTAAATGCATTTAATAAATCAATGTAAAAAAATGTTTTTCTTAAACCAAACTTTCTGTATCTGATTTCAGGTATTATGTACACTATTTACATTATTCGGACTATTGCCCTCGTCTTTGTCGCCATATTTATTAGAATGTTTTGGCTGTTGTACGCTCTGGCCTTCTTCAGGTGGTTGGAATGTCAAACTAAACCCCTTTATTTCGCTCACTGTAGGTTGTTCTAGTTCTATGTGCCATGTTTAATGGATGTCAGTTATCAGTGATCTCCTGTTAATTCCCCTCTCCAAGTTCTCCACTGCCTTAACTCACACTCTTTGGGTCCTGTCACTGGATCTAACATGGCACAGTGGATAAAGGCGTTGGTTAGATCCAGTGACAGCACCCAAAGAGTGTGAGTTCAATACACGGTTAAGGCAGTGGAGAACTTGGAGAGGGGAATTAACAGGAGATAACTGACATCCACTAAACAAGGCACGTGGAACTAGAACAGTCTACCCCAGTGAGCGAAATAAAGGGTTCAGTATGACATTCCAATCACCTGAAGAAGGCTGGAGTGGACAACGGCTGAAATGTTGTAATGAATATGGTGACAAAGATGCGGACAATAGTCTGAATAATGTAAATAGGGTTGGCTTCCTCTGTTGCCACTAATCTTGCTTTTATTTTACCTCCCTTTTTCCATTTTAGTCTTTTTTTTGTCATGTCCCAGTGTTATTAGTTGCTTATATTTGTGGCACTTTATGTCCTTTCTTAATTAACAGTTCCAATATGATATTAATATCTATGCTAGGCTTATTAAGAAGGCTGTTATATCCTAGCATATGTTCTGATTCTCCAGTGTTCTTTATCTAAAATTTTGACTTCAATCAACAGGGATTGATGAGCAACCTTTTCCTCTCCATGTGAGCTAAATGGAAGGTCAGACAAGCACTAGAAAAGTTCAAACCTCCCAAAACAAACAAAGAAATCAGAAAGCTTATTTGGGGAGGGTAGCTATAGCAAGGTGAAAAATGACCCGACCCTAAAACCTGAGTGGAAGTTGTCACAGGTCCCAAATAAGAACAAGGACTTCCTCTCAATGAGTAAATATAGCTACAAAGATATACAGCTTCCAAAAGATTCACAAAGTTGGTTCTCTTTTGGGACCTATAATTAGCAGTAGGTGCTCAGTATGACACCTGCTGAGCAGAAAAGCCCTTGTTATACATTAAAAACACACACCACTTTATGGAATCAATCTGACGGACTCTATTCATAACAGTTGGATAGTAGATTTTATTAAGTCTGTTCATTAGATTAGGCTCTAATGGTAGTTTGAAACAGATTGCAATTATAACCCTCTCTTGAAAAAAAAAAAAAAAGTACTAGCATTCTAATAGGTAACGTGATGGAAATGATGAAAAGGCTTTCAAACTAGGGTCTGATATATACCAGCAAGTGGCTTGACTATGAATTTGCTAATGGTGCCAACTAAGTCAACCATATGACTGAAATATTTATATAACATCTTCATACTCTGCCTTCATCAGGAAGATGTGAAGATGCTTTTATCTATTAGGTGATCAGCTTGCTTCAAGTTGGTCTTGAAATAAACTTTTTCATTGCTGTCTTATTGCTTATCTTATTCTTCCTAGATATATTTCCATTTCACTCTCATATAAAGCTCATAAAATTTTAACAAAGATGTGTAAATACTGCTGGACCATGTGAACTCAGTAAAACCTTCTAAACTAAAGATCATCTCGACTTTCAAGATGTGCTAATAACTCCCACAGACAATGGATTAAAGACATCTGTATATTATAAGGAGAGGCCAACACTAGATGATCAGCATCAAAACATACCTTCAGCGTAATAACTATGCAGAAAGCATAACAATCTACCGTAGGCAGAGGCAGAAGAGTCAAAGAGCTAGATTTGATCTATTTCGTGTATCAGAAAGACCTGCAGTCCACATAATATATAGGCGATATTTAGAAGCAGCTCAATCTTCCAGAGACAAACCTAACACAGTGGAGAACATAACCAAGAATTTTGAAATTCCATCCCTTGCAGTTTTAGCAGAGTTACCAAGGTGAAACCAGCTGCCCACTAAAAGTAAGGAAGGGGGAATATTAGAACACTAAATTAGGTATAAGACAACAAAATTAGGCATGGCTGATCATGTATAGATGGAAAAGGGGTCACCAACCCATGCAGAATTAATACTAAGCACTGGAGAATATTGAAAGAATACTTATGCTAAGGTATGACTGCTTTCTCAATAGGGTGGCATATATATAAATTACTTCAAACATTATTTTTAGTGTTTGAAATAGATACCCTGTTTTTTTTTTATTTTAAACTGTACACTCAAGAAAAACAAATCTTAATTCTTTAGAAATAGATATAAACACCATATGGGAGCCATTAATTAAAAAAGATTATGTTTAATATCAACAATTAACACTGAGACATAGCAAAAATGAAAGAAAGAATGCTGTAATTTTCAAAAGATAAGTAAAATAAAAGAAAGAGAAGACATAGATAACCATCCTTGAAAATAAGTCTGCAGTATCAGAGGAGGTAAGAAAAAAAACAATGTTTAAGACTCCAAGTTTTAGTCTTAAGATTGTTAGTTTCAATCTGTTTCAATTGACTGTAAAACACTTGCCCCTCCCCTTTTATAGGCAGAAGCACACAAATGCATGCTGGGAGTTCTTCTTAGTAGATAAAATAGGCTGGTTTGCAGTTTCATATGACACAATCCCAGTCTGTCTTGTCTTGACGTCAGAACACTACATTCGCTTGTCTGAACTTGCTTTCGTGTGTCAACCCCAAATCTTAGTCTGTGAACTTTTTGCCTTATTACTGTTAATTTGCCTTGCATATATTGTTTGCTTGCTTGATATTATTTTTTGCCCTGTTCATTTTTATTGTAAATTTTGTCAATCCTGTTATATATTTTCACATCTGACCATGACTACTTATTCCACAAAGCCCTAGAGGATTAAAGTTAATAAATTTACTGATATAATAATTGCAAGTTCAATCCCTGGGACAGGTAGCATACTAGAAACAAGATACTAAAAATAGTAAAAAAAATAATACAGATAGAGGATTCATTAGTAGATGGATTGGTAGTTGAAGAACAACCTTCAACATTGACCTTTTTTTTTTAATTTATTTATTTTCTATTTTGTTTCTCAGGAAGGTTGTGGGTCAGTAGACATCCATTTTTCTTCAACTAACAAACAAGTCACCAAAATTATCAATTCTGTCAGATTTGTTAACAACTGAACAATTAACAAAGAAAAGATATCCTTAGGCATAGATAGTGCAATGAGAATAGTATAGATCCATAGATTGAATAAAGTGTTCAGTTTGAAATTCCCTGAAGGTATCCAAGACTGATTGGCACTTGAAGGTCAGAAGACACAGTGGCCAAAATGTGATTGTGATAACAAAGACGATCACATTAGTCAAGCTGTAAATAATGTCAATAATTTTATTTTAGAATTAACAAATTGTTTCAGGTATATTTATAGATACTTTGGCTTTGTGTTAATTAATTTTGGAAGTATATTTTAAACTTTCAATGATCAAGTTAACCCCTTTCCCAACAATTATTCTGTGAAAAATGTTTAATTTTCAGACAATTTTTTTTTGTTTTAATATAGTAACTAAGAAACTGAGGCACATTGAAGTACCCAAGCAGTGGTTACACAATGTAGGAGTGGACTATTAGACTTGTTTCAAGCTCAGAAGGGCATAAAAAGAATCAAGATCGATGTAAAAACACAACTCTAGCTGGTTTTTGAATGTTATGTTTTGGATGTGTTTAATTGTCCGTGTTTGGAAAAGACACTTTTAGTAAAAATGTATATGCTCATCTACACTATGGAAGGGGTTAATGTGATATCTGTAGTAACATGGTTAGAGACTATTTCTAAAGATACAGTTTGAGAGCAACATTTTTAAAACTAAAAAGATGGTTAGTGCAATAACATATCTAATTCATCATTATTGAAATAGTGAAATATGCTAAAAAAATATGTTTAAGCAAAATTAAATGAAGCTGCTTTGGTTTATTTTGTTTTATGGCATATCAACACCTCAATGGGTGTTTTTATAAAAAAGACAGAGGGAAGTCATGTTATAGTGGTGGAAAAGTGGCCAAAGGAGAGATGCCAGGCCATGGTTGATAATTTTACATAATTTTCTTTGTTGATCGATTGGTTAGTTAATTGACATATCAACCACTATGGGTCATTAATGCCAACAAGATTTTTAGAATAGGTTCATACGAATAGAATATGTATTCTTTGTAAGAAATCAGTTTGTAGATCAGGTTTCATTGACATATTTTTGTAAAGACAGTTTTTGTCAAGAGTCAGTATTGATTGTAACATTTTTTTTTTTTTTTTAAAATGTATTGCTGGTATTTTTACTATAAAAATCTATTTTTAGATTTTCATAGTGTTTTGTCCCCTGGTTTGATGGTTAACTATTTGCTTGTAGCTGGGACCCTAACAGATGTTATCACCCCAGGTCAGAGTGGATCTGCGTACAACAGCTCCTCAAAACCTCATGATCAAAAGTATTGCTACCGGATGTAGTTTATTGTCATACCCAGGACATAAATGAAACTGTAATTAAAAAAAATATCTTGGACATGTAATCAATAAACTTTGATATAGAGAAATTAAAAAAGAAAGAAAGAAAGGATGATAAATAGTTTAAATCAGGAAAGAAAATGTGAATTAAATTTAACGATTAATTAAGTAGAAACAGAGAATGTACTTTTATTAATACTTGCCTTTGGGTGAAGACACCTGCGGCAAAACAGATGAAGAGGTACTCAGAGATCTCTTGCTATCCTTTAAAGTAGGAGTTGATTTACTCTTCTCAGAAGCAGTAGTTTTGGGAACTAAAACAAGAAATTCAGATCAAATTATAATTGGCAATATAGTTCATAGTTCAAGTTTTTTTTGTTCTTTTTTTACATTTTACTAAACATAAAACTACAGGGTGACTGAAAAGTAATTCCCTATTTTATGTACGAGTAGCCAGCCAGGAGACCTGAATTAACACCATGTGACTTTTTTTTTCTTTAAGATTGGTTAAAGGAGCAAGTCTAATATATCAAACCAAAACTTTGCAAGAACTTGAAGGGTGAATACAAGAAGTTATGTCTTCTATACCACATGAGTTCCTGGTGAAATCAGTTGATGCAATTCCTGGGTGGCTTGAGAAGCTGGTAGCAAAATCTGGTGCCAATATTGAATTTTAAATAAAACCTTAAGCTAAAACCTTTCCTATCATTTCCATTGCTTGTAAAAAAAATATAGTTAATAAATAAATTACAAGTATTTCAAAATGGGAAGTTACTTTTCAGTCACTCTTTATATTGGTATCTCAATATGTTAGTTATTACATTTTATACTGACTATTTATAGAGTAGTGTGTAGGACTTGTTATTTTGAAAAGAATACGTCATTAGTATGGCAAAAATGTAAAAATTTTTAAAATTGTTTCACCCTAAGAAAGGTGATAACATCACTAAGACATAAAGGGTTACTGAGAATGAAGGAAAATGAGACAACATTAGTTAGAAGTGATAATAAAAGAACGGGATTCAAGAAGACAAAAGATAGCAATTGATGTTGCATTTAAAACTTTGAAGATTGTAGATAGCAAAGAAGCAAAAACTGAAAGAGAGTTCCATAGGTGGGTGTTATGAGAAAAGAAACTATTAGAATAGAACTTATGATTACATGTAGCTATTTCAACAGTAAAACAATGAGACCTAATTGCCAATCCAGTAGTATGTTTAAATTCATGTGGGCGAGATGACAAGGAGGAGAGCTTATTGGAACAATTGCAATGAAAATGTTTATAGAAAAGACAGAGGGAAGTCATGTTATAGTGGTGGAAAGGTGGCCAAAGGAGAGATGCCAGGCCATGGTTGATAATTTTACATAATTTTCTTTGTTGATCGATTGGTCAGTTAATTGACATATCAACCACTATGGGTCATTAATGCCAAAACAGTTGGTATTGGATTTTGTCGAGAATCTTGAGATATATAGCAGGAGCACCAGACCAGATATGGCAGCAATATTCAATGCACAGAATTATGGTAGACTAGCAGCATGGCCCAGCATTGCCCATGCTTGATTCAAAAATCATACGACTCATACAGCAATCGCTATCACTTGACTTCAAATATGTTTTGCCCTTCCTTGCCTTTAAAGGAGTGCCCTTTGCTGCGCTGATGTTGCTACATGCCTTACTTCTTGCCTATCTCACACTGTGAATTTTTTCTAAGCTCTATACTAAACATTAAATCTGTTACAAAACAAAATGAACACAAAACGATCAGCTTTAAAAAAGGACTTGTAACTGGAAAAACTGAATGAAAAAAAGAATGTTAACAACAAATACTTTTTCACACCCAACCCAGTTCTGCAGAATCAGAATCAACGTTGAGTTTAAGCAAGTGAATGAGCCAATTGGAGTAAAGAGCCATGCAGGTCTAAATTTTTCCCCACTTGTGACGAATGCAGCTATCGATTTTTTTGCATGCTAGCATGCTAGTTAACATTGTGTCAGTCAGCTGTTGGCTCTCACTTCAGCCAATAGAATCTTCTTGCCTATTCGTTGCAGCCAGCTATGAGTTCTCACTCTGGCCAGTAGAAAATGGCTGCAAACTACATGAAAAACTGCTGTGAAAGCATGAAAAAAAAAATCGATTATTTCCACTATCGATGGGGAGTTGGGAAATGCAACATTGGTCTTGGCCTTCACGCTAACTTGGAACATCGCATGTAAATTTGCTGCAAATCCGTCGAAAATTGCGGCCATGCATTCGTTACACACACACACACACACATATCCTGTCTTTATATATATATATATAAAAATATATATACACACACACACACATCCTGCCTTTTATAGATAGAGATGAAACTTACCAATAACTTTTCTAGGTGAAGGTATTTTAGAATATTGTACTTCTTTCTTTGCTTTTGCTTTTTCTTCAATTTTCTCATCCTAAAAATAGATGATATTCAAAGATTAAAAAAAAAAAAACAGTTTGTATACCTCACTAGTTTTATCAAAATTCTAAGCATTTATTAGAAAAAAATGTCACATTTTACATTTAAAAAAGATAATGGCATGCAATGATGATATTTTATAGTCATTTAATCTTTTTTTATATGAAGAACATTAAATAAACTAAAGCTGCAAAATTTAAGATCTCTTTTCATGGCACATAGTCTTAGGCAAAAAGGATTATTTTTTAGAGTTAATATTTTCCGAATTTAGTTGAAACCTTTAAAAAAGAAAATTAAAATGAAATAATTTTCATTAATTCATTTCTTCTAAAGTGAAAGTTTACAAATCACATTTTCAAGATGTGAAAAGTAAAAATAACTGAAGTCAATCAGACATAATTTGCATTAGATTATGAACCTATAAAAATAGATCTTTGTAAAGTATGAAGTAAAAAAAAAATATTTAAATTTTCTGACAGAGATGGTTTTTTTAACAGATTTTGTTCTCATAAATTTAAGACTGGAATGCTATACAGGGTGCGATGGATAAATTGTCGTCTAAATGACACAAAAATGAAAACTGACTAGTAAAAGAGATTTCTTTTAATTTAAATGCATTTATAACTAATCGAAATGAAAGTACAACCAGATTTTACTTAGACATTTTTGCCACAATTTTATGACATTTAACAGTAACTTCCATATTCATTAGATTTGGACATTCAAATTTTCAGGTAAAAAAAAAAAAAATGATTTGGTTATATCTGTCAATATCTGTATATATTTCTGAGATGAGATATTGTAATTACAGGGTTTGATGGATATATTACCATCTAAATTATGCAACAATGAAAATAACACTGACATCTTATTTTAGCAGATAAACTTACCATAATTACACAAAAATATCTTGAAATTCTAAAGAGTAAATTTATTCAATAAAATCACTGTTGGCTTCTAGGATGGCCTCCAGATGACTTTGGAATCTCCTGCAATTTTTCTGGACAATCTCCTTCTTTAAGTTGGTGAATGCTGCCATAATCCTTGCCTTCAGTTCATCCTTGGTATTACAAAGAATTTTATTGGTCTATTGCTCAACTGATTCACACATAATAATCAAAGTAGTTGCTTTCTGGGGAGTTAGGCGGTCAGATGTAAGGGGTGATGTGGTCACAGAAATTGTCCAACAGCCATGACTGGGTTCTCTTGCCAGACAGAGTCTTCCAGCGGTCACCCTCTTGACCCAGAGCAGCACTACCTCTTCAAGGCACTTGATGTAGGACTGTGTTAAATCTGAGGTCCTGTGCAAAGATGAATGGTCACCATCACTAGTGAATACTCCAAACACCTTCGTAATCACCATTAGATTCATCCAACTCTTTCTGAAACCCTTTACATTGTTCTCAGATGGACACCCAAACACTCTAAAATATTTGTATTAGAGCTTCTGGTGCAAATGCCAAGCAGTACAACATAACACTTTCAAATTACTGGTGGAGTGAATTGCCCAACTGACCTTACTATACTGTGCAGAGTTTGTCAAATCAAAAACAAATAACGCCCATGTGTGAAATTAAAATTATAAAAATAGTGACAATTTACCCATCATACCCTGTATTTTTCATGATGGTATTTAAATTTTCCTAAAATCTGTTATATGCACAAATATGGATCTTCATGCCTGCAAAGGATAGTTTTCTTTCACACCGCAATTATTTTAACTACCTTCACTCCATGGTAACGTTTGTTGTTTTAAAAAGCAATGATTACAATTGTAATAAAACCTAAACATGAAGAAAGTGAATTTATACATTTTTTGTTTTGTTCTTGAGAATTTATAACAATATTAAATGCTATTTATTTATTAGATTATTTATTTACAAGAATTTTATATTTACAACATTAATTAAAACTAATGCAATGCAATATTTATAATTTACCAATTTATAAAGAAATAAATATGAAAACAGTTTTTTTATTGATAAATTTACATACATTTACAAAATTATTAAAACATGTGAACTATAAGGAAATCCTTATTTACCATTTTATAAAATTCAAATCAATTGGCAATTAGCTGGTGTTTGGCCAAACATTTAAATAAATACTATAAATAAATAAACTATCTAATAAATAAGTAGTATTTATTATTTTTGTTGTCAATTCTCAAGAGCAAAGAAAATATATGAATTCACTTTTGTTATAGACAAGTGTATGGTTGCAAGAAAGAAATACAACAACAGCAGAAATAGATTTACGTGATTTATTTCAACAGGAACATGAGGGTTTGGGACAGCTACCTTGTGGTATAGTTCATAAGCCGGCTTCAGATCTAAGTCAATCTCTCATAGTAGTTCACACATGTTGACGCTGGCACTCCTCCTGCTGGCTGCTGCTGACCGCTCAGCCTGACCGTGACAGGTCTCTTCCTTGGCCACCTGTTGACTGCCCGTTGTACTTCCCTGTGACCCCTTTTATGGCGTTTTTTTTATGGCTTAACAGGCTTCGAAAAACGAAGCGAGTATAATTAGGAGGAAGCATTTTTTATTGGACGAAAAATAGAACACTTTAAATATTATTTTATTTTTCAACCAGAACTTCGTTAATGTCGGGAACATTTGTAAACGAAGATAATGGTCATTTTGTGACGGGGCTTTGTCCCATTCACATCCGGCTCTCGCTCTTGAGTATGTTAGTTTATTTGCCTGTAAATCAGCTGAGATATGTCTTATTTTATTTTATAACACTTTCATACATTTAGGTTTTATTCCAACTCTAATCATTTTTTAAAACAATAAACATTAAGAGTTAAATTGTGGGGTTAAGGCAAAAAAAAAAAAAAAAAAAAAATCCTTTTGGCACTATTTTTTTTGCAGGCACAAAGGTCCATGTTTGCCACATATAACAGATTTTAGAAAATGAAAATCCCATCATAAAAAATATAATCTTCCACTCTTAAACCTATAGTTGTCAAAAGAAATTAGTAATTGTTGTGGGATGCAATTTCAGATTGGGCGTTTCTTCCCTCTAGACCGGTTTCATGGTATTTATTGTTGTTCTCTGCCGTGTATCTGCTTTGTTCGTGTGTTTGTTCATTCTATCACAGCTGCAAATATTGTATGATGTAACCCGACAGAATTCACTCTCTTAAGATGGTGTACTTGTAATTGTGAGTCGCCAATCACTTGCATGGATGATAACCATAATAGACATATGGGAACCTCAAAATGGAGCACCAAACACACCTAGATGTACCTTCTCGATTCTGTCCAACTACATTAATATTATGTATAGTTGTTAATGACCAAATTTCTTGTGAGACAACAAAGGGTCTCGCTTGACAGAACAATGCACTCACATTCTCTAAAATTGAAGTACTACATGCCAGACAAAGATAAACTCTCTTTTGTCGAGAATAAGGCAAGTCTTTTTCACCATTTCTGCCATTTGACTCGGTTTCTTATTCATTATGTCTGCTACAACTATGCAAGCAAAATCTATTGAAATATATTTTATATGAAAGTAGTTAAAATTAAAGTGTCATGGGGAAAACTGTCCTCTTGACACACTGTCTTTTTTGTGGGCACAAAGATTGATGGTTGCTGAGAAACTATTGTTTTTTTTTTAATGCAGTTTATCTAACAAATGTGTATTTGGAAAGTTTTTATTTTTTAAAAAATTTTTGTTTTGCTTTAATCAAACGTTAAAACAATTAAAAACCATAAAAAGACTTACATTTAACAAACTGACTTCTTCCGCTTCTCTGTGCAAATCAATCAAGTCTTCAGCAGTTTGTAATTTTTCCTGAGTTTTAGAAACAAGCTGAAAAAAATATTTAAACTTACTTATTAAAGTTATTAAAATTTATTAAGTTATTAAACTTATTAAAATTATTTCAAAGTTATCCTCCAAACGTTTTGACATAAGTAATGAAAACTTACACATATTTAGAAGCAAAATTTGCTTGCATGCTTTAAACAAATATCAAGTATTGAATTATCTATTTTCCACTTTATGCTTTTGAGTTGAGAAATTATCATTACCATATACACTCACATATCATATGACTTTTGAAGACCTAATTTTGAAGCTAATTTTAAGGGGGTTGCATCATACATGAGATATAAAATTAATATATGTATTGCTGGCCCTGGCTATGTCATTGACCAAACTATATATTTATTTAGTCAAATTAGTTTCAAAATTAGGTTTTCAAAAGTTGCATGATATATGACTATATACGGTATTATATGCCTTTTCATTCAGACTAATATGCTATGTTTCAGTTTCCATCAGGTATCTGTTCTAAACAGTAACATACTCAGTAATACTTTATTCAATCTTAGGGCCATATCTCGTATAAATTAATACTATCCAGTCTAGTTTGGTTATTCTGTATTGGATGTTTGTTTCACATTATCTAACTCAGGAATTGAACTCACAGCTGTCAGGGAATCAGATGTGTGTCTCTTGGACAATCCAGTGGTGTTATTTTAGAGCTTTAAACCTAATGTCTGCTGAATCTTTGAACCTCTTTCTTAATCAGAGACTGCTAGATGGTATTCCTTCCTGTGCTAGGTCCACTGATGAAGTTGTCAGTATTTAATATGTGTATTGATTATCCTCTAAGTATAGAAAAGGGAGCGAGAACAATCTATCCTTTGGAGAGTTATTTAATATACCAGACATCTGAAGAAGGAAAGAGAGTATAACTGAAATGCTGTGAGTATAACAATCAAGATAAGAGTATTATTCTGACTATAATGGCAGAGACTATTATTTTTTATTTTAAAATTTTAGAAACTTAAACAAATGAACTTCTACTTCTGACTATATGGTATAATTTTTTACCCTTTGTTAATTTTCTGGAGACAATATGAAGGTAGTTAAAATTAAGGTGTCATGGGGAAAACTGTCCTCTTGACACACTGTCTTTTTTGTGGGTACAAAGATTGATGGTTGCTGAGAAACTATTGGTATTTTCGAATGCAGTTAGTTTATCTAACAAATGTGTATTTGGAAAGTTTTTATTTTTTTTTAAAATTTTTGTTTTGCTTAAACATTAAAACAATTAAAAACCATAAAAAGACTAAGTTGTCAACATATCATTTTTTTTTTGTTCTTGGCCTACCCCACTTCTCAAAAACTTATCTAAATAATCAAATGTCATTTTTTATTATTTTGGTTTGGCTGAGAACTTTTCTTACAGCTAAACATTTACAAAGATTTAAAACATATTTTATTACATAACCTGAAATTACTTTCTCTCTTACATTGTTTACCTGGTAATTTGCACAACATATATAAAATCTTCTCTGAATTTAATGTATTTTAATTCTCATTTTCCACCTATTCATCTTCATATTGTTGTATTTCAAAAATGTGTCTGCTTTTGAGGTTTACAAAATGATACTACAATTAAAAAACCTAAAAACTGCATCTCTTTTTATTTCAAAAGTACCATATTATACTGCTAAAGAAAAACAAACACAACTTAGTGTACAAAATGGAGTGAAAGTTATCTAGCAAAACATAGTGCATAAAATTTTGAAAGAAAAAAAAAAAAAACAATCAGTCTCTTAAAATTGAAATGGTTATATAAATTTATCTTAAATTTGTCTAAATTCTTGTGCCAAATTATGAGTATGTACCATTTTTTTTCTTTTAGGAAACTATAATCCAGTCTAATTTAAAAGTTTTTTTGTTAAAAATGTTAAGCTTAATCTGAAATTAATTAAAAAAAATAAAATGAAAAATCTTTAGTGTTCTTTTTAAAATTTTACTAATAGAAATGAGAATAAAATTTCATGAATGTTACTTTTAGAAAATTGAAAATTCTAAAAGAAATAAAAGAAAATTATATTTACAAATTCATTTTCATTAACTATTAGTGGAAGTGTTGTATAATTGATATTCAGGTGGATTATTTTATAGCAGTTAAGAGAAAAAGATTTTGAAATAATCTTATATACTTCATTATAAGGGTGCAATGTATAAATTGTCATTCAGTGTGCCAACAGCATACGTATTTTTATACAAGTCAGAGGTCAATATACCCGTACTACAACTTATATATATATATATATATATATATATGTCAGTCTATATTAAAATTGAGACAGCTAAATATCTTTGTACTCTAGTAGTTATTGGTTTGGACTTTGTGATGTCATTTATGGCCACATGCCATTGGAAATTGCTTGGTATGGCATGCAAACCATAGACTGCCAAGCCTTGATTAGACGACAATTTATCCATCGCGCCTTGTATAATATACAGTATTGTCACAGGCTAAGCATGTATCATTTATTAACAGAATAAT